TTTATTGTCTCCCGGTAGGGCGCAAGTACAATGACGAGATTAAGATGAATCGGAGAATTAGTACTAGACTGTTAGGCTCTGGAATCTGTAACATTAGCGTTCTCTGCTCTTCCCTGGTGTTTTGTTGATGTGTGCCATTGTGTGCCCCTGACTCACGGTGTCCCTGTGCACAATGGAATGACACTCTGCCCAGGCCTGTGCCCTCCTCCTGGAGCAAACCGATGTGCCCCATGGTGTTTTCCTGGTCTGGTTTTCAGAAGTAGATAGCTAGTCTTTCTCGTTCTCGTACGTCTTCATCTGCAAGCCCCCCTGAAAGCTGTGTGGTGTCACGCGAACACACACATCTCTGTTGTGGATGGATGGTGGTTGCTCAAGCCGCATATTCAGTGGAAATCAAACCCACGTCTCTCACGTGCAAGGCAAGAATTCTGCCACGGAACTACCGCTGCTGCTCGCTCACCAGCATGTCCACTGAAAAGTCCTCTCCTGGGCTGCTGGGGGCCTGTGGGAGCTAACCAGCTTCTACCTACTTTGGGCTACGCGACAGCTGAACTGCATATCTGGCCTCACTTTCCTGACACTCCGGCAGCTGGCTTGGCCTCTAGATCGATTTTGTTTTCACTTCCAGTCAGTCCTTTTGAACTGGAGCTAAGAAAAATTCACCCCGACTCTCTCACACATGGCCCACATCTGACCCTGTTGTCAATATTTCTGCATCCAGTACTCTGAGTTTTCTCTGGGTGAAATTTCTCAGTGTGGCCACGGACTCTATGTCCACTGGCCACGCAGCCAGTCAGCACTTCTCTCAGGCTTAGCTTTCCCAAGGAGCGGGGAGGCACGTGCTTAATTTGCCCCTGACCCCAACCTGAAGGGACTTAGGTGAATTTCAACAGTCCTTCGTAAAACCCTCTGCTCAGGCTGGAAGTGGGGAGTGGCATACTCCCCTACTCCTAGTGCAGGAGCCCAATGTCACCTTGGGGAATGCTTGGCTGAGGTTGGTGGTTCAAACCTACTAGAGGTCCTATGGAAGAAAGTTGTAGTAGTCTGCTTCCCTGGACATTGTAGCCTTGAAAATCCTATGGGACATTTGCAGGAGATCATGGGCTAACTCAAAAGCAGGGGCAAAGAGGGGCTCCAAAAGATGCTAAAGTAGAAGGGCCAAGTAGGGAGTATAGCATAAGGAGACTGCAGGAGGCCAAACCCACAGCCATGGAATGAATTCCAACTCATAGCGCCCCTAGGGGGCAGAGTAGAACTGCCCCTGTGGGTTTCAGAAGCTGTAAATCTTTCAGAAGAACAAGGCATCTCTCTCCCACAGAGCAGTTGGTGGTTTCTAACTAGTGACCTTACAGTTGCCCATGGGGCTCCTCTGCGTTCCCCCACCCCGGAGGAAAAGAATAAACCCCAATGAGGTAGTTCATACAGGATCACTACGAGTTGGAATCCACTCAACAGCATTGGATACTCAGCATTGGATACACCCATTTATTAAAACTTAACCTTCATTTCTACTTTGAATCTTCCATCTGTTTTTCCCTCAAAGATGGAGAGAGGCTTAAAAGCAGTGTAGACAGATTCTACCGACTTCTTTTGAAAATTTTGTGTCAGGATCTCATACACCTCTGTAGGATGGTCTGGGCATTATTTTGGTGCACCAGTGTAGCCCCCGGATTGAGTATCTCTCTGTGGATTGCCTTTCCCTTGACCCTCCAGAGCCAGCCTTTCCCACCTGGCTCTCTTCCAAGGAATGCCAAGGACTGCCAGGAGCCCAATGAAGATGGGAGATGCACCTAGCTGTTTCTCTGTCCGAGTTCTTCGAAGGAACCAGGACAGTCAGCAGCCTGGCATGGACTCATAGCCACCAACCTGCAGAGCAATTACATTACTGCCCGTTATTTTCTGGTTGTTTTGATTTATGGAGAGTTACTTAAATTATTCAGGCTTAAATCTTATTCCCTTTCATTGTCTGCAAAACAAAAGATTCATGGTTTAGACACACATCCAGATTTCGCCTTAAAGGCTGGTGTTCACGGAACATCAGATCGCAGTACCATCAAGGAATCAGTGAGAAGGTTCAAGTTGGGGTGGGTCATCATGTAGCCATTTCTTCTTCTTAAAGCCACACACATCGTGGCCTTTTGTTACAGCAACTTTAAGAAACTAAGATATTCGTTTACTCAAAAGTAGCAGACAAAGTCCATTCCTATCCCTGATGGGTCAAATTGAAATCAGTTTCAATACTTTGTTAATAAACTGGATCCACATTCTCCTTACTACCAAAGGCAAGCAGACTTGTCTCTGTTGCCACCTCCAAACTGAGTACCCACCTGTCACAGATGGACTTACAATGCTTATTATTCTCCCACCCGCACAAGTACAAGTCTCCCCATGAGGTTGCCCAGGGATGAATCCAGAATGAACCCACCAACTTGGGTAAGGCTGTTTCAGTGGGGCTTTTAACTTGGAATCCGTGTCTATGCTGTCACTTGCCTTCCACCTGAGCAGATTTCTTCTTGTTGCCTGGAATCTTCTTTCACCTTACCCCATTCTATAGACCATGCCCTCCAATCCCTTCCCCCTTTCTCCCCCACCCCCCACACCCACACCCCCCCACATCTCATTTACCAAGCCAGTTCCTTATACATGTCCTCCACTGTTTAGTTTCCATGCCATATCCCAATCTTGCTCCCTGCCTCAAATCAAGCTCTGGGCTTTCATGGTATCCTGTATTGGCCCATTAAAGCCAATTAGAAGTTCCAATGACTCAAACATTTAGCAATATTTAGTCTATATTTGGAGCACCTAGTAGCTATTCAGTAAATGTGTGATGACAAAAGGCTATGTTAATAACGTTTGCTGATGCCTTTGCCCCAACCTTGGTGTCCCTAGGACTCTGGGTCTAAGCCAGTCTGGTGGGCTGTAGGGTAAACTGGTGGCAATAATGACTACAGTGGAGGTTGGGAGTCTCATTATCTGGGCCTTGTGGGAAGGCAGGTGCAAAGTAACAGCCTCATTTTGGTTTGGGGATAGAAGGAAGTCAGTCAGTAGCAAAGGTGAGAATGAAAAGGTCATCCACAGATATGCCTGGCTTGGTGTTGGTAATGATGTCGTGAAAAGCACGCTACTGAAAGATTTAAGGAGGCGCAATATCACCACCAAAACCTAGTGTCGTGAACTACTCTTTCTAGAAGAGCTCTTGAAGGTTCACGTGTCAACAATTGTGGACTCATCTCAAACGGTGTTTTTCAGAAGTCCATGAGAAAATAGAAACAAATGTATGGCTTCCAAAGTTTATTACTGTCTTCTTTTATTGAAAGGATGACAGAAGACAATAATTCATTACCAAATCCTAGTTGCAACCATGTATCTGTCTTCCTTGTCCACCACTAGGAGACACCACTGGTCTGTGAGCATCCACCCTCCTCCAAGCCCCCACAGGGGCACCCCTGGCACTCACTCCAGACTAAGGAACAACAAAACAGAATCCATTCTAGAAAGTAACTCTCCTAAATTATGCCTTTGTTTGAATCTTCCTATTTCTCTGAGTTGCCACTGGCGATGTGGTATAAATGTATCATTTCTTTTCAGTGTGAACTAAAAAGAGTCCTCGTTACTTAGGGAACCAATCTAGCATTTACCTACACGGACTGGAAAGGGGCACCCTAATCTCACTGCACTTGCCTACATTCTTTTATAGAGATTTCTTCTGTCACAAGAAAAGGGAACAAGTTTTCTCTAATTTCACAGCCTGCTTTTTTTTTATGACAAGATGATACAGTGTAGTAATTAACTATTAAAATATTGCATCATCTTCACGGGCATGTTACAGACAAACTAATTTAAACCAAGGTCGAGACCCCAAATCAACAAAATAACTATGAAGGCAGGAAAGACAGAAAATAAAGGAGAGAAAAGGTAAACAACAGCTGCTATTAAAAGTAACACCAGGCAGCTCAAACTGGTCTGAATACATTCCTAAAAATGTAATTAGCCAAATCTTTCCAGAAATTAAACCATCAAAATGACATTACAGCACACTTTAAAAATGTATTTACAGAGTGAAGGAGCAGTCATCTCAGCATATCAGTATGTCCTGAGGGCTTCCTTCCTCATAAAGAGAGAGATGCTGATGAGAATTAGATACTGGGCTAAGAAGAAAATTGTCACATATATTTTTGTGAAATGCTAGTTCCTAATTCCCTCAGCAGTGCCAAAGTTGAGAATAAACTCACTTAATAAGCTTTCTTTGTCAGCCTATGTGATGATTAAAATGGCTAACACCAATGTCTACCTATTAGCTTCCCATATAAGCAAAAAAATACTTTTCTTCAAGTCCATTCCAATACATGAGGATCCCGGGTGGGTCAGAGTAAAACTCTGTCCGTAGGCTTTTCCATGTCTGATGTTTCAAGCCTTTCTTTCAAGGAGCATTGAGTGGACTTGAACCACTAACCTTTGGTCAGGTGAACTGAGGGTACCACCCAGGGACTCCAGTGTTTCTAATATCAACATCTATCAAGGGCCATTACAAGAGACGTGCTGGAATCTCCCAACGCTGTGGAGCATATTTACCAGAACGCTCTACATTGATACACAATTTCTGACTTGAGGGCTTGCCTGCCTCCTCTGACTGGAGGGTTTCAGTATAATAAGTTTGCATGCCAGTTAACTCAAAGGTCCACAATGTGCAATTGTTATTTATATATGATACAGCATTGTACGAATTTATAATAAGATAATCTTACACACGACAATATGCCCATTTCCTCAATGGTAATCGTAAACATCAATCACCAAATAAGCTGGAAAGGTACCAGATACACCCCACTAAGTGGAGAGCTTTTGGCATTTTGATCGCATATGGAAAGACTTTTAGTTGGTTTCTCTGATTGCAGATGCATTGTGAAGTTACAGGGAAGTGAGATGATAATACTCAGGCAAGAGGAGAGAGCAATGTTTCTTACAGGAGCACAGGAACATGCAGAAAAGGGGCATGTAGACCTTGGACAGGGAAAAACTGCACAGCCCACTACGGACAGGAAAGATGGGGATGAGGAAAGAGAGAAGACTATGATGTGGTCCAAAGCGTGTTTTCAGAAGGCCCTATTGTAGTGCATGATGGTGCAAGTTCAGGAGATTGGGAAGTAACACTCCAGGATCTAGGAGGCCTACAGGAGAGAGCAGTCCTAGCCCAAGAGCAGAAACATCTTCCAAGAGGGCGTGGGTCTCTGGCAATGACCCTGAGGGCACCGGAGCAGCTGTGGGGTTCTGTGTTCAAACAGGAAGAGCTCAAAGACAACGTGTTCAGTGTTGGCCCCTGCTTTGGACATAACCTGTTCTCTTTAGCAGCAGGGTGGTATTATCAACTCTTAATCGGAGTGAAAATTAGTAAATGTCAAAAATACACCATCATCCAAAGCACAGGAAACCAATCAAGAAAACTGTGAATCATAAATAAAGGATCTCCTTTTTATTTTATGGCAGAAAGGTACAATATTTGTATTTTTGTGTCTATGAGCACTTCAGCTATCTCATGAAGAAATCTACTACATGTGATTATCAGCCCCTCAGATTCAAGTCATTCTGTGCTGACTCCTAACACATAAATTGTACACCGACACCCCTGTGTATAATTGTAATCGTCCAAGAACAAAACCATTTACAGAAAAAAGTCTTGCACTTCACGACATTGCCGTGGATACCAAAAGTGCTTTATTTTTTAGGTAAGTAGTCTCCAAATATGGCCCCTTCTATATCTTGCTTCCCTGTGTGCCCACACTCCCCCTCACATCAAGAATTGAAGGTCTATAAAGAACTTGTCAGCTACCACCACTGACCAATCTGACCGGGGGAGACAAGAGATGATCCTGTCACATGACTTCTAAAATCAGCCAGAGCTATTCATATCCCACGGATATGCAGATGGATTCTGGGCATCCACTTAATTCCAGCCCCAATTCAAGAACAGTTAGTTCTTATAACATGGCCCTGCTCAATACTCGCCTTCATAAAGATAAGGGAGCTACAGCAAAGTGTGGTAAAGAAAGCAGGTGGAGCCCAGCTATCAATTAAAATAATGTCTGGGGTCTTAAAGGCTTGGATTCAAACAAGCAGCCATCTAAGTGGGGCGTCAACTAAATCCACATGGAAGACGCACACCAGCCTGTGTGATCCAAAGATGATGATAACAATCCAAATATGATGAAGGGAAATGTGTCAGAGCTTAAATGGTGAACACTCGATTTGCAGAAGGCTACAAAGGACAATGTGATCCAAACTCCATCTGCAGAGTGTCTAATCAGATTAAGCCTCTGGCCAATCCCTTCTGGCTACAGGCTATCAGACAGAGATGACTGTAAACTTGATTGCGGTGGATAGAACCACAGTATCAGATGATACTTGGTCAGCTGACCTCCCTCTTGACGGAACCCTGAATTTCCTCTAGATTTAAATAGTTCTCACTTGTTCTATGATGGAAATTTCCTCTCTGATTTCTTTTTTTATCATGAATTAAAAATATATATTTTTAATATTGCTGGTAGTCTTTTCTGTCTTACTCTTTATTTTTTATTATTTGTTCCTTTTGATGTGCTTTGATTTTTTTCTTGTTTCTGTCGGGTTTCCCAGTTTTTGAAGCACACAAGGAGTGGATGCACAGAGACAGTAACTGCTGCGATGGTGTGTCGAAAATGGGAGCAAGATGGGAGGGTGAGGAAAATTGGATAGCAAATCATGAATCCTGGAGGGGGGAGGGAGCACTAGAACAGATTGTGATGGTGAACATTTTTTAAAGTGACTTAACTGTGGAAGTGTATGGTATATGAATTTTATATCAATAAACCTTTTTTTTAAGATGATCCTTGTTAGAATGGGGGTGAAATGCAGAACTCAGTTTCCTTACGATGGTGAGATGGATATGAGAGGACTCCTTGAGACTGTTGCCCTGAGACACAATTTCAAGACTGAACCCAAACCGTCTGGAGATCCCCTTCTAACAGAAGCACAGAGTGACACACAAAACGGAGGGTGCTACTGCCTTTTAGATCGATCAGCGTCCTACTAAAAAAAAAGCCTGGAAGTCCAAAAGGTCAATATCTAATTCAA